TCACAGTATTTTTATTTTTATTTTCAGTAACTAGGTGTTACATTTCAAAAGATGTATCACACTTGTTATTTTGGCTTACATTTCCTTACTTATATGCTTTTCTATTTGGGTATGCAAAAAAGCGAGGACTACTTAAATTTAGGTGGATGTTAGGAGGTCCTCTGGACCTTGGCTTCTTGGGTGTTTTGGGTGATATTCGGGTCAGCAGATCACCAAACGGATAATACTGGGTGTTAAAGCATTGTTAGTTGTAAAAGTGAAAGCAGCTCTATCCCTTTTAAATATCAAATTAAAAAGAAGATAAAACTCTCATTGGATATTTCATATATGGTGGGGCGACGTTGGCGTTGGATGTAGGAGTTTGCCCTGAAATCGAATGGTTGACAGTTCAAGCCCAGACTCCGACTTTCAGTGTCGTTGTGTCCTTGGGCAAGACACTTCACCTGCATTGTCTACTGATGGTGGTCAGAGGGCACGGTGGCGCCAGTGTACGGCAGCCCCGCTTCTGTCAGTGAGCCCCAGGGCAGCTGTGGCTACAATGTAGCTTGCCACCATCAGTGTGTGAATGTGTGCGTGAATGGGTGAATGAATGTAGTGTAAAGCGCTTTGGTCAAGTTACCTGACATGCCATTTACCATTTATATATTCATGTGAATGTGTATATATTATATATACATATGTAAGATTTAGCATATAAATCCCATTACAGTTCTGATTTTTTTAATCATATATTTATTGTTGTTAAAACAGATGTCCAGTGTCCTTCAAATTGTAGTATTTTGCAGTTGTTACAATTCTTTTGACCATGTACAGTATAAGAAGAACCACACAGCATTTCAAAATTTTTATATTTTTATAAATCCCATCCAACCCCAAAACCCCTTGTCCTGGCAAATAAAAAAAATAAAAAAATAATAATAATAAATAAATAAAAATAAATAAATAAATAAATAAATAAATAAATAAATAAATAAATAAATAAAATAAAATAAAATTCATTTGGGACAACAACAAAAAAATAATAAGGGGGCTAAATTTATCAAATCTGAGATCCACATTAATGCCTTAGGTGGAAATTGGGATTTCCATCCCAGAAGAATTCTTCTTCGAGCAATCAGAGTGGCGAAAGCAATAACATTTTCCTTTCTAGAAATCGCAGCGTCAACCCCAAAAATAGCCATTAAACGACTAGATTTTAGATGTAGGCCAAACACATCGTTTAAAATCCCAAATACTGAATTCCAATACTCTTTCAGCTTAGAGCCCGACCAAAACATATGAGCTAAGTGTGCGTTGGTGGCTCTACAGCGATCACACGTTCCATCTATTTCAGGCCACTTTTGCTAGTAACGGGTTTGACCCCCTTTTGCCTTCAGAACTGCCTCAATTCTGCGTGGCATAGATTAAACAAGGTTCTAGAAGCATTCCTCAGGGAGTTTGGTCCATATTGACATGATGGCATCTCACAGTTGCCGCAGATTTGTCGGCTGCACATCCATGATGCGAATCTCCTGTTCCACCACATCCCAAAGATGCTCTATTGGATTGAGATCTGGTGACTGTGGAGGCCATTTGAGTACAGTGAATGTCAGGTTTATTCAATGATGATTATAAAATTAATGCATGTGCATATAGAACATTAAAGAAATGAGATGCTTAACTCTGTTTACTGCAAACTGTCATGCAACTTTGGTAGGAAACTGCTGATGTTTGTGCAAGGATAATCACAGTTATCGGGAGACCGCTTTATGCTGTAATTCAATCAAGAGGAGCATTTTGTCCTATGACCCGATCAATTGCCTTGTCAGAAGAACACTGTTCTGTAACCCACCCCATGTGTTATGATCTGCTAAAAAAAAGGCTTCTGCTGAGGAGACCCATCAGTGAGCAGATGTGGCTGAACGTGGCTCTCTCCTCCTGCAGGAGCCAAAAAAACCTATTCTGTGTGGGCTCAGTTTATTTATTCTGAACCTACAATTTTGAACCTAACATTTTGGTTCCGAAACCCGGGAGGCAAGATCCAATTGTCTAGGACCGTGTGGGACCAAGGCCAAGAATCTGTCGACATACGTCCTCCCTTCGCCGGACGGGGCCCTTAGGTTGGTCCAGCGCTGCCCTGGGCATCTTGGTGACGTCTCCAGAGGAACTGCTCTGCACAGCAAAGGGTAGGCCTAAATCTTTTGATCAAAAGCTGGTCTGAGACCATGTGGAAGCTATAACTGGTTATAGTCGCAAGAATATTTGACAAACAGGGTTTTGTTGTGATAGATCTGGGATCGGTATTCTGTGTGTATGGGTCTGGGACCCTCTGTGTTCTTTTAAGATAAGAACACAGTTAAGTAAGGTTTGCAGCTGCAGCAGGGATATTTGACAAAACCAAGTTTTGTTGACAGATGTGGCATCTGGGTATCAGGTGCGTGCGAGGGCCTGGAGCTGGAGACTCCAAAGTGTACACGATAGGTGTTTTTTGTCTATGTTGGTTAAATTAAAAAATATATAATAGGCCTTAGGATAGGTGTGACTGTGCAAGCTAAGTGTGTGTGAGAGTGTAAGAGGAAAAATCGAACCATTGGGTTCTGTTGTTTCATATTAACACAGCAGGGGTTTAATACAGTACAGCTCTTGTGGATGCAGAGGCAAGAATTTCTCACCTGTAAAGGTAGAAGCAGAAATTACCACAACAGTGTTTGGGTGCTGTCCTGCTGAATAAACATCCAGTGCGTAGAATACCCTAGGTGTTTGTACTGGACTGAATTCTTTAAAATGGGTAAAGGTCAAAGTAAAATTTGAGATAATTTAGAATCTACGATTAGAAGGTTGTAGAAGCGCAGGATCCAACAAAAAATAAACATTTGAACATATGGTTTTAAAAAATATATGGGTTTGAGGGAGGCCTCTATTCCAAAATAATAAAATAATGAGTACTAAATGATAAAATAACTAAAGAGAGCCAGGGAGGTAAAAGAATTAAAAAGGATGGGTTCAGGGAAGAGTATAGAGAAGAACATAAGGGGTATGGAAAGTTTGTGTCAGATTGATCCAAGTAATTTAAAATACTTTTAGAAATGGGAGTAAAAGTATGAAATAGATGGTGTGTGGAAGTTGATCAATGGAGAAATGTTATGTGCTGGCTAAAAACAAGCACTAGTGAAAAAATAGATAAATAAATAAATATATATAAATAAATATATATAAATAAATAAATGAGCTCCAAATGGCGAGTTGTTGATATAATACATCTGCAAAGTAGATATGTTATTATCAAAAATAAATAAATAGATATAATGTTGTGCTTGTCCGTCTTTTAATGTTATTTGTCTCTGACCTCAATCTGACCTCAAATATTTTAAAGTTTTTATGTATGGTTGCCTTCTTGCCTGACAAAAAAATGTCTATCCCTGCTCACCTTTTTTTTTTATGAAAACCTAACCATAAGTTAATAAGGTTCATATTAAAATGAAGGTTCATATAAAATTCCCTAATCAATAGACCTTCACTGTCTTTTCTGTATATTTGTTTTGCAATTAAATGGAAGAGATTCTGCTCCTTTAAAATCATTCTAACTTGTTTATTTATGCTGGAAGTAAATCTAGGAGCTCTTGATCTGTGTCTCTATTTTTCTAATAGATCTGTTGAAGTTTTAATTTCTTCCAGTTTAAAATGTTAATTCTAAAGCAAATGGGTTCAGGTCTGTCATTAATGTGTTGGATTAGTTACTTTAAGATTAAGCTTGACTGTCAGAAGAGTAAAACAACCAAACAGAAATGTGTTTTTTCCAATTTCCACAGAAGTGACTATGTAGAACCCTGATGTTTGTGTACGTTTTTCCAGACATTCCACATTTTTTATGATTTTCATCAACTTTAAGCTTATATGTGCAATCAGCATGTTTTTCTTTACACTAAGCCTATATTGGACAGAGCTCAAAGGTAAGGTATCACATTTGGTAAGTATTGCTCATCAGGAATATAAATAAGAAACCTTTATTAAAATAAACTTCACTTTATAATTGCAATACAAACCTCTAGTGGTAGGCTGTGGAACTGCAGAACACATCATTGACCCTCAATGCTCATAGATCCAAATATAACTTGTTTTTTTCTCTTCTGTATGGGATGAAGTTGAGGTGTAAGATGATTATTTTTGAAAAACAAAAAACAAAACATCAACTCATTTGACATAATTGTTATTTATTTATTTGAAATGTAAGGCAACAGGATATATCCAACTTTCTTCATTTTTTTTTTACATTGCTCAAACAGCTGATGTAACTCTAAGATCATTATACTTTAAATCTGATTATGATGCCTTGTGTTTTAAAGAACAAAATCACAAAACCTTTCCATCCAGATGTGTTTCTCAAGTGTAAATAACATATTGGAAGATGAAGGTTTTATAGCAAAGAAGGAAATCTAAGATTGAAAGGTTTCATTGTCACTCTATAACTCAGGAATCATTAATAGAATTTAAGCGAGAAAACAGTGTCTCATCATTTAAAGAAAGCAGTAAAATAATCCAGAGGATAGCTAAAGCTCACAAAGGATACAATGGAAAAAAATAAGAAAATGACTGATTTAAAAAAAAATCGAAAGGAGAGAACTTCTTCTGTAAACTCTTTTGAAGTCAGTCGCAAAATATTGTGTTTTCCACATCGAATAATTATGTCACACAGCCTTAATTTCTTATAAATAAGTCATTCTACTAAACTGTAGCATCAGAAACAGTTCCAGTTTATTCAGTTTTTAATCCAAATCTACCAAACTCTTAGAATATAATAAACATAAGTCCAGTAGTAGATAATGGGGAGTTTATGTGATTGATAAGAAAAAAATAAAATTAGAGCCTTTATGATATTTGACATAATATCCATTGAAAGTTTAAGCTTTTCCACATCCTAGACCATTGTACTTTATTCTGGAATACATTGTCTCTTTTAGAATTGTTTTTCATAATAGAAATTAAAGAAAAGCTGACAGATTGAAAAAGATATTCTTATATTTAACATGTAACATATTAGAGAAAAAAAAATCCACCAGAGCCTCCAGCCTACATGTCAGCAATCTCAGAATAAACTGCTTCACCCTCTGCTGCTGGACTTGACTTTCCTGTCAGTGAGAAGATATTTCTTAATGCAAAATGTCAAATCAATACAGTTAAAGCAGATTTTAAATACTGCAACATTAAATGCAGAACAGTGGCGTTTATAGACCAATTTTACCAGTGGGCCTAGGGTGAGACTGGTATGTTTTCATGGGGGCATAAAGCAAAAGAAAAACAAAAAAACAGGGCAATAGCAGACCCTCTAAAATACATATTATTACTTCACTCTATATGCACATGTAGTGGCTTTGGATGCATTGAAAAAGAAAATTTGCAGAACCTTCTTTAAAGGACACTGACGTTTTATTAGTTGTCTTGCAGATATAAACTAAGAGAAATACTTATGAACTGAACTCTATGCTGAAATGTAATTAGCTTTAGTGTAATGATGACATGAAATTGACTGTACCTGCAGCTCCTGTTTTCCCTTCAGAGTAAACAGCGCCCTCCTCTGGTGGTCTATGATGTCTACCTGTAAAGATCATCCAATATGAGGGATAAAACCACTCAATCAGTTTCTCATGTTTTACATTGTAGAAATGTGGGACTCACTCTCTTTCTTAGAGGATTTTATTTCAATGAGAGAGTATGTATGATCTCTGAGTTCTTCTCCTGCTGAAATAATGCAACATTTTTTGTGAGTTACTTGACTGTAAATTACATGATTTTATGCTTTAAAAGATAAACTTTACCGTTTCCAGCAGCTTCAGCAGAGTTGATTATGTGATAGAGATGAGCGTCACCTAAAGTGAATGAAAGACCAAAAAGTATCACGAATTTACAGAAGTTTAACAGATTTTCAACAATTTACTTAAACCTTGAAAAAAATTATATATAGATCTTTGGCATTAACATAGTAATCTAAACAGCACAAGCAGACTAACAACAAAGCTAATAAATAATGATTCAAAAATCTGCAAGAGAAAAAATATGTATACTGTATATATATATATGTCCCATAAAATTACGAGACCAATACAATCATAACTGGATGTGTACATCTTATTTTACCCTCCTTAAATCAGACTAAACAGTTCAGCCAAACATGTTTCTCTTTGGTAGAAATAGAGTAATATTTATTGTTACTGTTGGAAACTTGGCTGAACTCCTTCATGGTTTTGGATCAGAGCACACAGACAAAAATGACAAAAATCTACAATCAAATCACTTTATTAAGAGCATTTCATCAGAATCATGCTGGTAATAAAAAGGCAGTAATTACAAAGCCTCTTTAGAACTGTATTTGTTCATAAGATTTTGATGCTTTGGTTTCTAAACACTTTGAAAGCATCGCCATCCTATAATAACTTATTAAACTTGGTGAAAAGGCATAAACCATACTCAAAAGCTCAAAGAACAATTCTGATCCTAATCAACACAACTTCAATAAAGAGCTTCATGAGTGCAAAGATTAAATTGCCTGTTGAGTCTTTGAGACTCAACAGGCAAAATCACAAGTATGGATTTTAACCCCAACACCTTCTTCACTGTATTGAAGGAGGGGTTTAAATAGATTCTTTATGCAAAATAGTTATTTGTAATTGTGTGTTTTTCATCTAGCTTGTCTTTTTTGTTTTAAGTTTTTTGATGTTTCTGTATCCTTGAACATTTGCACAACCCCTACAGCTGGAACGTTTATCACAAGCAGTAAGTCCCCAATGCAAACATCAGTCTATGATAAGAAAACTGATATTGAGAAAAGTGAGAAGCTGTGGTTCTGACCTTCAGTCTGGTTTGTGTGGCTCTGACTCCTGCTCTCTGAGACCCTTGATCTAATAATTGATACAAACAGGTTATTAAGGAAAAGTCAATGAAATGAAAATATGAGAAAGAAAATCAAAATATGGTGAACTCACCTGATGCAGCACAGATCTGTGAAGTATTTTATTATTCATAATTTATTCTGGCAGTTTTTTTTTTCCACAGAAAAAAAAATCAATGTCTGTGTTGCAATAGTTAAAGCAGCTATAAGTTAAATAAATAATTCAGTGTTCATGAAAAGGTCTCACCCTTAGACCATCTGCAGCAACACAAGACCAGTAGAATAATGAGAATGAGTCCAATAACTGGTCCAACGATCAGCAGCACAGGAAGTGAAGAGCTGACAGGACTGGTGAGAGGAACTGTAGAAAATAAATATTAGAAAGCCATGTTATTAATCTGCAGATGTTATGTGATGCAAACGAGGACAGAAACCCACAGCACATTCACATTGACATTATTAGAGTTCGTCATATTCATAGATTAAAGTTTAATGGCTTTCCTGAATAAAATCTATCAAATGTTTTCATCCTCTCACCTCTAACAGCCATCCAGCTCTGTGGTGACTCCTTTCCTGAATGTTCACACTTGTAGAAACCTTCATCTGACTTTGACACTGCAGAGATGTTCAGCTCCTCTCTGCCGTCATTGTGGATCAGTTTGTCATTGTGATAGAAAAACACATTGGAGAGAAGTTTTTGTTCTTTATCTCTGCAGCTCAGAGTAACAGGATCTCCCTCAGTCACAGGATAGACAGGGCTCACCAGGATAATACCATTAATATCTTCTATAAAACAATCAGAGAATGTGAACATTTCATCACATTGTTGGGATTAGAACTGTAAAAACCTTGAAAAGATGCCATTCCATTCAGTTTGATCACTTTGATTAGAAGTTTATACCTTATAAGCTGATCTACCAACACAAAAAGGAAACCCTGTGACCTCACTGGGATATCAGATTAAACACAGAATGGTTCCTATAGCAACATTATTGGAGGCTGAGGATGTTCTCTTCACTTTTCTAGATTTTATTGAGATTTCATCAACTGTTCCTCTGAGAGAGGTCTCAGAAAGATGATCACTAGAAGACCACAAATAATCAGACGTGTTCGAGGAGATAATATAGTTATTGTCCAGAAATTAAATAAGAATAGTTTTTATGAAGATGAAAATAGAAGAAATAAACAATGATGATTAACATCAGAATAAATCTGCAGCTCTGAAATTGAAAACACTGATGGTTCAGAGCAGCTCTGAAACATTTATGGGTCCATTAATGTGATCATGTTACTTTAAATTAATTCAGTTTATTGTATAATATCAGACAGTTTTAATTTCTACTGTAAAAAGTTAAGGAACATTTTAAACTAAAAATTTATGATAATAGTAGCTATAGATGAGAAATTACTTTAAAACTGAACAAAGTTATTTAGTTTTTAAACTTTTTGAATAATAACTAGAATTATATAGATGTGAGGATTTAAGGAGAATAATTTATCAAGGCGCAAATATTCAAATTAGAGGTTACAGTAAGTATTAAACATTAAATATACTGAAATGTTTTGATGTTGAAAATAAGGAAAAAGAAAAACATAATAAATCATAACCTACTCTGTACAGTGATGTTGACAGAGTTGCTAAAGTGTCCTGATCCAGACTCACACCAGTACACTCCACTATGATACCAGTCCATATTGACGCTACATGTAGCTCTGTTCATGTTCCCGATGTAGAAGCAGTCATACAGTGAATCTGTTTCTGTAATCCACTTCACTCTCCATTCAGCAGAGTTTCCCTCACAGCTCAGAGACACAGAGTCAGAGTTGAAGTGTTGAACTCTGTCAGGACTCACTGAGAGAGACGCTGCTGGATGAGGATCTGGAAAACAACACAGGATTTAGGCTCAGCACAGAAACAACAGGTGAAAGGATTAATATGGATTTACTTTTTGAACATTTTTAAAAATAAAATCAGAGCAAACATTTTAACCAGTGTTGGGCACGTTACTTTGAAAAAGTAATTAGTTATAGTTACTAGTTACTTCTCCCAAAAAGTAACTGAGTTACTAACTGAGTTACTCCAAAATAAAGTAACTAGTTACTAGTAAAAGTAACTATTGCGTTACTTTTGCGTTTCTCACCCCGTAAACCTCACCACCCAGCCCCCACCTTCTGGCGGTGTGTTTCCAAAGCCAGCTGAATAGAGCGGATGACAAAGACAAGAACCTGCAGAGAGTTTAGCATTTATTGCAACTCAACGTAAATGACATCGGGGGGGAACGCCATGTGAAGTTTTTTAACAGGGCATTCAGATCTGGTGAAATTAATCACTGGGGATGTCTAATTCTGAAATCCTGTGTGTTTGGGTTGTTATAGATACTGCAACATCTATCTATCTATCTATCTATCAAGATGTATACTCTGCGTGCGACATAAAATATGGATCTCCATCCCTGCCACAAAGGCCATCAAATAATGTTTAAAATAAAAAATACAGTAGGTTGAAAAGTCAGAGTATCCATCCATCCATCCATCCATCCATCCATCCATCCATCCATCCATCCATCCATCCATCCATCCATCCATCCATCCATCCATCCATCCATCCATCCATCCAGATTTCTCTCTTTCATTTGATCGTTCACGCTCTCCATAGTTCTCCTGTGGCGCGAGCACAGGGCAACTGTTGCGCGCCTTTAGCGAGCATGCGCGTTTCCTGTCGCTTGCGCGGTGAATCGTGCCGCCTGCGCTGTGCGGAGATGCAGAGGAAACCGTATGTGATGGGGAAACGCAGCTCGACGTAACACCGGTATTTCCATCAGGAAAACGCTGTTTTGCTGCTGGAGTCATCCTCACTCTCTATCTCTCTGTGTGTGCTGGACGTTAACACCCGCCAGCAGAAACACCCACCTACCCAACTGACAGACGGAATCTCACTATACATCAGCCATTCTCATCCTCCCCTCTCTCATGACAAGGCGCGCACCTCTGGATGACCTAAAAAATAATCTTTAATATCTCTTAAACAAAAGTAGCACAAACAATATTTTTTTCTGCACAAATCTGCACTAACGTTGCACTAACCATTCAGTCTATTTGCAGAGTTTTTTGACGTGGGTGGGGTGTCAGCTTCACGCAGCTGCACACGAGTCCTATCATGAAAAAAGGTTCATCGTGCGACCTGAGTAACGCGCAGTAACGGGGTGTCTGCAATGGTAACTGCATTATAGTTACAGTCAAAGTAATTAGTTAGATTACTCGTTACTAAAACAAGGTAACACGTTAGTAACGCCGTTACTTTCAACGCCGTTAGTCCCATCACTGATTTTAACACAGTGATCAAACTGTGATATTTGTCCTTTAAATCCAATATTTTAGTGACTCTCAGACTGTACTTCCTGTAGAAACTCAGGAAGCTGAACCTTCAACAGCAGCAGCTGATAATTTTCTATACCTCCATCCTTTAGTCTGTTTTATGCTCATCCATCTCTGTGGTTTGGTTCGTATCTTCAAATAGGACTGGTCCAAACTGTAATGAATAATGAGGTTTGCAGAGAGGATCATGCTGAACTTCCCTCCATCCAGGATCTACACAGGTCTAGTGGCTATGGCATCGCTTACCCCCCTCTATTTCCACACTTACTTGCTTACTCTTTACTCATAGAGCAAGATTGTGCAGGGATTAAACAGACAATAATTTACCCTAAATCTGTTTAGTTTTAATAGTTTTGAGCTTTTCAAGCAAATCAGATAAGTAAAACCTACATCACCTGCTTATTTATTGAACATACGAAGTTTAAAGCTGCAGTCTGTTACATTGAGAAGAGAGCAGACTTCGACTGAAAATTTGAAGAAAAACAGGTTTCACGCCACTCCCCCCTTCCTCTCTGCTTCACTCATGCCCCACCTCCAAGCTCCACCCCTCTCACAGCATCTGCGCGGCTACCGCATGCGACCAGAAGCGTCCAAGCAGCGTATGCGGCAGCTCTTCCATTGACATCTTCTTTTTTGAAGTCTTTGCCGTGTAAGCAGTTGTCGGCAGGGGCAGAAAGAGCAGTTTCTCTTTCGCTGGTGGCTGTCGCTCCGCCATGACTTCCACGCGCATCCTCCTGACTGCAGCAGCCGGGCGGCAGCGGCAGGTTCAGCGGTGAGAGGGAGGGGGCGGGATTCAGCGTGTGTGAGCTGGGATTGACACTCCATCAGACGCTCCTCTGGCTGTGATTGGTTGTTTTGACTCGTCCCGAATTATTCTTTCCAGATTGAAATACAGGCAGTAGGCGGTACCAATTGAAGCAGTTTTTTTCACAGGTTACATATCACATGTACTGCTGTCTGGGCATAGGGACAGTTTGAGCCAATATGACAAAAAAGTGATTTTTAAAAACTTACAGACTTCAGCTTTAAAACAACCTTTAAAGAGTCTTAAGTTCTTTATTCTCATTTTAATCTGTGGTGGATTGTTGAGATTTTCTCTGGACTGTGGGAAAACCTTTAAAATTACTTTTTGGAACAATTGCGGTTAAAAGGCTAAGAGAACATACTCAGAGAAATTTGTGCATTAAAGCAGGAACATTCAAAATAACAGGGTTTAATAGGTCACTAAAAACACAGGACATGGAGTAAAAGACATTTTAAGGAGTAATTTGATAAGCAATGTCTAAAGTGACATTCAAATCAATTTAATTCAGTTTATTTCTATAGCGCCAATTCACAACACAAGTCATCTCAAGGCACTTTACAGTTCAACCAGATCATACAGTCAAATTGATTCAAAGTTTTCTATCTAAGGAAAACCAGTCAATTGCATTGACTCATTGACTCATATGCAATCCCTCACACTAAGCATGCTTGTAGTGACAGTGGAGAGGAAAAACTCCCTTTTAACAGGAATAAACCTCCAGCAGAACCAGGCTCAGTGTGAAAGGCCATCTGCTGAGGCCAACTAGGGTTCAAGGAGACAGAAGCAGAGATACAAAAAGCAGCTGTAAAAGGCGGCACCGTCCAGGAAACACACAGCCAGGCAGACGAGCTTCGGAGCCAGCTCCCATGTCAGAGGATGAAGAGAGCACATCCAGCCAGTCACAGTCAGAGAAACAGGACCACACTGGAAAAACAGGCCGATCTCCAACATCTATAAACAACAGTGTTGATGTCAGCAGCACAGCTGATGTTTGATGTTGTTGTTAATATTTTGCAATTTTAGGTGGATTTAGCTACTAGGCTTACAGGTTGGTTGCGGTATTTGATGCAACATGCTTCCAGCTTTATTAACTCTTGCAAAGTCATACAACATGTAGCGTTTAGCCTATGTGAGGGATTATATGGTCTACATTTGTTGTTGTTGCTTGTCCAAATGATCCACTCCATCACTCATAGCTGCATACTTAAGATTACGTTTGCTTGCCACTCTTGTTGCATTACATTAATGTTACTTTGTTCAAACTAGCATTAACGTTACCATCTTTCAGAACCCATTTGTATTAGACCGCTACCAGTCATCATCTCTCTTTTCCCTCGGCAGGGGAACACCAGAGTCATTCAGACGAAAAAGGAAATACAGAAAAGCTAAAGATAGACCGAATTAAACCTGTCTTCAGTTGATAGCTAAGCTTGTTGCATGTTCACAGTACAATAGTTAATAAAAATCTATATTTTATGTGCCACACCTCAAGTTATATAATTGATGACAGCATGCACCTAAAGTGACATGGCAACTGCTAAATGTCCAAAGATTATTCCAACACTGGGGAAACAAAAAAGGAATAGTTATAAATCAAATCAAATATATTAATTTGACCTCTATTAGCCATACATTATAAAGGTCATATAACATATATATCGTACAAAAGTTGTTTTTAATCAGTATGTAGTCTATATTGGGAGTAGATTAATATGTATAGTATAAGCCTACTGAAAGTGCCGCATTGCTTACATACTGCATATATCCATTTTGATGGAACAGTCTATATTGATAATGTCACAGCTTAAGTCACCATTGTTACTAAAGCATTTTGGGAAGGTACATTGTTCTACACAGCAGCTCCATATTGTTATAATCAGTGAAACTAGGAATTCCAAAACCTGAACATCAAGTAAAAAGACCTTCCCACTTTAGCAGCGTCTTCAGAAATAAATAAAATACATCTCAAAGTATGGCTATTTATTTTTCTCTCCAGATCCATAATGGCTGAGAATCAGTCAGAAATGGTGACTTTCCTGAGAGGTCGAGGTGCATCAGAAGAAACAATCAGCTGTTACGAAGAGCAAAAGGTATGGCTACAAGTACAAGATGAACAGCTTAATTAAGATAATTAGCTCCCCAGTTTTTGTATGCAACACAAACAGGAATCTTCAGAATAAATTTTCTTGGCCATAGTTAAGCAAGAGTTTTGATAAAATGCAGATTAAATATTCATTCGAACAATTTTAGCATGTTTGATCATCTTGCTATTTTCACTTTCAATATATACCTTCTTCAACAGCTCTCCTCACGTCAGTGTTGACATGAAGGATATCAGTATATTATAGTTTAATCTACAGAAACAGCTATTTTTCAGTGCAGTTTCACAATACTTTTTCTCCGACTCATAGCTATGTTTTATTACTGTCTAGACATCACTGCTTGAGTATCTATCAAATTACTTGTTACTTTAGACATAACCATTTACCAGAGTACAAAAGGAAAAAAAAAACAGAATAAGAATCGAAAAAGTTTTAATGGGCTGCACAGTAAAGGAACAAAATGAATCTCATAATAAATGCTGTGCGTCTATCAAAATGCCATGCTTAAATTAAGTGTGCAGCATATTTGGGAGATTAGAACCCCACAAAGAGAGATGTATAATAATAAAACATTTGTAAACAAGGTATTTACCAGAT